AGAGTCCAAGGGTCAAGAGTTTGCTTTCCAGAGTTTTGCAGCAGGAGTATACAATTTTCAGAGTCAGGATTTCAATATCTGGCATGCCAGAGTAGGCCACCCATCCTTATCTAGAACGAAAGACATTAAACAAATTTGTAACGATGTTATTTTACCTTTGACTCAGCAATGTGAGATTTGTCATTTGGCTAAACAAAAGAGGCTTCATTTTCCTCTTAGCACTTTTGTTTCTTCTAAGATTTGTTTATCTTATACACACTGACATTTGGGGGCCACTTAGTACAATTTCAAGAGATGGTTTTTCCTATTTTCTCACAGTTGTGGATGACCATAGTAGAGCAGTCCGGGTTTTTCTATTAAAATCAAAGGCAAAAGCCAGATAAGTGTTGCAGTCCTTCTGCACCATGCATATGGTGCATACCTAGTTTGATGCCAAAATTAAAACCATTCATTCTGATCAGGGTAAAGAGTTTCATATGCCTGAGTTTTTATAACACTCATGGCATTATTCATGAAATGAGCTGTGTTTGCACAGCTCAGCAGAATGGTAGGGTCGAAAGAAAACACCAGCACCTTTTAAATGTGGCAAGATCCCTTAAATTTCAGTCTGGCTTACCTTTGTGTTTGTTATTGGAGTGACTTTGTTCTTCATGTAATCTATCTCATAAACAGAACACCTACCCCTATCCTGAATCACAAAACACCTTTTGCGATGTTACATAAGGTGCCTCCTGACTTTATGAGTTTAAGGGTATTTGGATGTTTGGCTTATGCCACAGTTGTAGAAGGTCATAAACAAAAATTTGATCCTAGAGCTAATCAATGTGTTTTTCTTGGTCTACCAGTTGGTATAAAAGGATTTAAACTCTGGACATAAACACAAAAAGGGTGTTTGTTAATAGGGATGTTGTGTGTTTATGAAAATGTTTTGCCTTTCAAGCATCTCAATTCCTCACCGGATTCTGGAGATGTTGCGAGTTCCCCTGATCTCCCTTCAGCTACCATATCTTTTTTCTGTCTAGAGGTATCTACTTGTTCATAACCTCTTCCCTTTGTTGAGCCTGAGTTAGCAGACATTTCTTCTCACCTGTTACACCAACCCATGTTTCTCCCATCTCATCTCCTGCTACATCTCCTTCCCAATCTTCATCTCCTCCTCCACTTTCAGCTTCTCCACCTACACCAGTAGAGCCCATTAGGAAGTCCACAAGGAAAATTGTGTTTCCAAAGAAATATGATGGTTTCTATGTTGGTAGCTCTCAAGTCAGTAATTCTCCCACATCTATACCATTTGATCTTCTACAGCTTACACCACAACAACAATATTTTGCTCTTGCCATTGCTGTTGGTGTTGAGCCTACTACCTATGTTGAAGCAGCTCGTGACCCACGATGGAATGTAGCCATGACAGATGAAATCAAAGCACTTTATGAGACAATACTTGGGAAATTACCGACTTGCTAGAGGGGGTTAAACCTATTGGTAACAAGTGGGTGTACAAATTAAAATTCCTACCCGATGGTGCCATAGAAAGGTTGAAGGCCAGAGTTGTAGCCAAAGGTTACACTCAAATATGGCATTGATTACTGTGAGTCTGTGACACTTTTTCACCGATTGCCAAGTTGACTTCTGTAAAGATGTTGCTAGCAATTGCATCAATCCAGAACTGGCATCTACACCAAATGGATGTCAACAATGCTTTCCTTAATGGTGATTTAGAAGAAGATGTCTACATGGAGTTACCAGAAGGTTTAAGAGCTGTGCAAGCTCAAGAAATCACTATATGGTTTGAAACAGGCAAGCATGATGGGGTATGCTAAGTTGACAGAATCTTTGCTTGCCAATGACTTCAGGCAATCAAAGGCAAATTACTCTATTTTCTTAACTGAGATTGCATGCATTCTGGTTGTGGTGATTGTTTACGTTGATGACATTGTTATTGGCAGTTCCAGCCATGCGGCAGTGACTTCTGTAAAGAAATTGTTAGGGTCAATGTTCAACATGAAAGACTTGGGAGAGTTGAGCTTTTTCTTGGGTTGGAAATAAACAGAACAGGAGCAGGAATCCATGTCTCTCAAAGGAAGTATTGTATTGAACTGTTGAAGGAGGCAGGTTTTGATGAGTGCAAGCCAGCAAAGACTCCTTTCAGAAGGTGAACCTTATTATCAACAATTTTAAGCATTTACTGGGTCAACTTCAGTATCTCAACAACACCAGACCAGATATCACATTTGCAGTTCAATAATTGTGTCACTTTCAAGATTCACCCACAACTGCGTCACAAAAACATAAAACTAACCTAAAAGGAATAGAAAAACAAATCCCAAACTAACTAGGAAACATAATACTACTTAAATAAGGACTATAACTCGTTTTTATAACCAAAGGAAGCTCCTTAGCAGCTAAGTAATCTCCAAACATGTTTTTAATGCTTAAGGAAGCTCCTTAGTGGTTGAGCAATCTCTTTCCTTGTCCTTTTTACATTTGGACGACTTGGGCAGGAAGGATGGATGTTTTGGGCTCCAAGAAATGTTGTAGGTCGGATCCTTAATGCATTCTCCATTTTATCCATTAAGAATGCTCACAGTTGATCCTTATATCGTTGTATTCGAGCCTTTATCTTCGGACCACGAGAATTATATGTTCTCCCAATCGATTTCACATCAACAAACTCGTAGGCCTTGCTTAGAGTGCCATTTTCAACCATCTTGAATGCTCCCACGATCTCTTTGAACTCCCAAGATCTCTTTGAACCTCTTAATTCGTCTATTGGCCCATGGTCCATGTGAAGAGATTATTTGAGCCCGAATAACGCCATAAGGGGTGAGCGGGGTCGCATCACCTTCATTCTCCCTCCCTCTAGTCTTATAATAATCCCACAGATCGGTCACCGTCATTAGAACTCAGATATGGAGTTTACTACACCACCGACGAATTTGAGTTTCTACTTTTCGATTTTAAAACGGGACCTAGAAAGTGGACTACGCCGTAAGAAGCCCACAACTTCCCAACATATCTATAGAGTGGAAGAGAGACGACGGAGAAGTAGAAATCTAGAAATTAAATAGACCTCCTCTGAGTTTGTCTGGATTGGCTGTTGTTGCTGTTGGTGGGTGACGATTTGCAGCTACTATCGATGTTCAATCTTTGTAACTCTTTCCAGATCTGTAATTTTTGTTGTTTTTGTTGTTGTTTAGCAAAAGAAGATGGGTATACACTAGATCTCCTTATCTATACCAGATCTTGTTGTGGGAGGTAAAATGAAGGAAAAGGCTTTGGAGGATGAGATTCAGGAGCTAAGAAAAGTAGCGCCGATGAGGGAGGGGGAAAGAAAGTGCGAAGAGTTCTCGGCTCCTCAGAGGTTTCAAGGTTTCATGAAGCTGGCGATGAAGCCCAATATGATGACTTTTTCATCTCCTCTTTGTGGTTTCTGATGGCTGTCGAATGGACTAGGAAGCTCTCGAATAACCTCGGGAAGCTACCAGTCATGGCTTCAGATGAAGAAATAGAAGAAGTATAGGGCGAGAGAGCCATATCCATGTCACCGGCAATAACAGATAGCGAGAGAATCAGATCATGTTGCCGCTCTACTCCGCTCCTCCTGATCTTTCAAGGTCGCCGGTGATGACGGCGGAGAGGAAGAAACGAGCAATAAAAAAACAGGGGAAGGGGAGGGTTTGGCGAGGAAAACAGAGTTTTTATTTATTTATTTATTTATTTGTTTTTATCTAATTACAGTAAGAAAATAACCATTTCCACCTAGCATTGTCTTTTTATTTAAATGGCATGTCACCAAAAATCGTTAGTCAAGTCATCCTTGATAATTTCTTTAAATTTATGAACGAAATGGCTATTTTAGTGTATTTTTTAAAAGTTGGCTATAATTGTCACAATGTGCAAAACTATGGCTATGCAAGTGTATTTTGTCAATTTAATATCACTTGTTGATATGGATCACAATGTCAAGAAGTGACCTACCCCTAAGTTGACCCGACCCTACCCAACAGGATCAAACCCTATCCTAAACTGACCATGTAGACAAAATGACTCAGTCGGACCCTCAGGAATAGAGGTGGGTTAGTGCAGGTCAAGCCTATGCCCCTACAGTCGTGTGCCTTTTACAAACTATTATATTGAGGTGCTATCTCAACGATTTTGTGGAGCGCCACAAAGCCAATACTTTATGAAAGAAAGAACACATGCACTCATTCCAGTTATGGTTATCCTCAGGCACCAGTGAAAGGTTACCTCAACCCCATGCGTCTTAGAACATTCTCGCTTCGTAGATTCATGAAGGACTTTTGAGACAGTCGGAGAACAATTTTTTTTAAGGAGCAATTTTGAGGATAAAAAGTTCCATATAATTAATAAGTGATCGGTAGAATATCGGACTACCGTGCAACATCTTCATTACACCTACTCGCAATGGGATATGCATGTTAAGTAGACATGATTTAAGGGCATGAAGTGTGATGCTGTGATTTCAAAATGAAAAAGATAACTATGATTTCTTGAAGTAGCTAACCCAGTATAGATGTAGCAAATCACTGTGGGTCAAGTACTATTGTCATGGTATTTGTATTTCAGCCTGTTAATGGCAAAATTTTGATGAATGCAATCTAAGCTTGTAATAACTGCAACTACTTGTTAATGGCAAAAATTGGTTGAGCTTCAAATTGCTCCTTCGTAAATGACATTTTTAGCGAGCGGAAAAAAAAACAAAGGACAAAATTCGTTGGGATACGGACCACGGGCAGTGTATGTATTTTTCACACAATATTCCGAACACCAAATTACAAAGTTACCCCGCCATGGTGCCCGAAAAAAACCAAATTTCGCTATGTAATTACAATACAACACAGGGGCAAATGGGTAACATAGGATGTAGGCCGTCAGGCATACTGAGTACTGGGCCATAAAATCATGCACAGCGCGATCCATGGTGACGTGCGGAAACAGGGAAAACTGGATTCCGCATTTCTCCCAAGCCAATCAGAAACGACCAAACTGTACAAATTCGGAGGGTGATTCAGTCATTTCATGTCATTTAATCGCACCATTAAAAAGAGAGAAAAGCTTCCCGCTTTCTGATTAGACTGATCAGTGGGGCAATTAAGCAAAAAGGGAGGCCAGTCAGTAGGTATATTTGGCTATTTTGCCATCTTTGGCGCTTCTCCTTCTCTCCCACTCTCTTCTCTCCTTTTTCTCCCCCAGCACTTCTCCCACTCCTCCCAGTAGTAGTAACTACCTCTTTCTCGCTGAGTCTGCTCGTTGAGCACCGAACCTCTTTTTGGAACCCTAATTTTCTCCACAGAAACGGGCTGATTTCCGCCATTGCGAGCCTCCTGAACCTCCACATTGTCTTCTTTCTCGATCCTTGATCAGGTAGCTAACTCTATCACCTAGCTCTTCCTCTTCAGTTCATCTTGCATTTCACCATTATTTCTTCTGTGGAAAAGCTGGTGCGTGATCATCAAATCGTTTCTTCTTCATTTTTTGTTTTTGCCTCTGCTCTTCGTTTGGAAGAGAAACAGAGAGATTGTGTGGTTTCTTTACCGAGGGGGGGAAAAATCTAGCGATCCGTACGAAAATCGGAGGATCCTTTTCCTCTTTTAGTCCTCTTTCCTCAAGTCATTTTCTACCTTCATCTGTTCGATTTCTCTGTATTCTGCGTTGAAAAACCTCTGATTGTGATTGTGTGTGAAAAAATGGCTATAGGATGACCGGTGGAAAGAAGGCAGCCGGATACGGGCAGGGGCAGGGGCAGGGGAGTACTCAAGTCTCTAAACGGATAGTGACGACTCGGAACTTGCGGAAGAGTGAGCTCGCCGGAGTGATATTCGGCTGCAAGCATCACACGATTGATGAATGTTTGAACAAAAAGTTGTTTGGTAAGTTTGAATTCCTTTGTTTTCTTCTTTTTACTGTTTTCTTATCCCCAAACAGTTCTTATATGACTGGAATTCGTTTTTGTTGTTGTCGTTGTCTGGAACAGGATTGCCTGCTATGCATTTCACGTATGTACAGAAGATCGACAATGGTCTGCCGCTGTTTCTGTTCAACTATTCCGATCGGAAGCTTCACGGGATATTTCAGGCTGCAAGTCAAGGCAAGATGAACATTGATCCATATGCCTGGCTCGAGGAAGGCTGTACATCGACCCCCTATCCTGCTCAGGTGTGTTTCTGCCGTTCCAATGTTGATATTTGGTCTTCTGCGGGGATTAACTACCATGTCTGTGCAGTATGCAACTCAATCTGATAACAAATTTCGCTTACTCGCGCTTTTGTTGTGTTTACTTGTAGGTGAAGGTAGCTCTCAAGAAGCAGTGCCAGCCTCTGTTGGAGAGCCAGTACTCGCCAATCATCAAAGGAAACTACTATGCTGCTCCAGTCTTCTTTTGGTTTGAACTGGACAATAGACAGACAACCCAGCTGATCTCCCTGTTTCAATCTTTCCCGGTGAAAACAAAGCCTCCCCTCCCAAAGCAACCACCAAACATGAATGTTCCAGCGCACATTGCTCAAACGTCTGCACTTGGTAAAAGGAAAGAGGGTGACCAAGATCAAGCACAACGAGCCCCATTGTCTCAGGAGTTTCTTGGTTATGTTGCTGATGGCGAGCCAGGTTTTCTAGCTCCGAAGCCATGGGCGGCCCTTTTTAAGCCTGGGTCTAGCACTGATGAGGGAAATGAAGGCGAAGGAACTGATGAGGAGTCAGCTTCTGGATTGCAAGAAGCTCATCCTCCTAAACCTTGGGCGGCCTTGTTGAAAGGCGAACCTACTTCTGATTTGCAGAAGGAAGTGGCCAAAGATGTTAGGAGGTCATTTTCCGAATGGGACTCTCATCCTCTGCATCAGTCTGACATGGCGTGGAACCCTTCAAGTAACGGGGATGAGCCAGTGCCATCGGGGTGGGATTTTACAGACGAGAATGAGCGGGAACAAATGCCGGACAGCATGAATGGTGATGGCATTTCTTCATCCTATATGGATGGAGAAAGTCATTTCTCGGAAGGAGTTCTGGAGGAGGATACGAGAACTACTGGATCGAAGGATGATAAGGACAGAGATTTGGGTGGCGGAATGGTAGCCTTGGAGAAGCAATCTTCTGATGCTTCCTTAATCTCCCAGGTAGTTAGATTCTTTATTTTTATTTTATGAAACATTGAATTTCCTAAGCATATGGTCTCTTCAAATTTGTTGCAGCTCATGGCCAGAATGGAAGAAATGGCGATTCACCAGTCATTGCAAGACCAAAAGATCAATTCATTGGAGCAAGATCTGGTGCGTGCTCTCATTGGAAGAAAAACTTTTAAAAGTTTGTGGGAACTTAACACATTTGCTCAGTTTTCTTTCTGTAGAACAATTTGCATAATACCCTTCTTCCGCGAGCTTTTGACTTTCTAGTTTCTAAATCATGTAGAATCTTGTTTTGCGGTGATGAATCATCTTATAGTTTTCATATTCATAACAGCGAGTGAACTATTGTGATGAAAAGTTTAGGCTAAACATAAATTGTGCGAGAATAGATGCATTGCTCATGTGCTGTCATTGGTTAAGATGCAATGATTTCTGCTTCTCAGGCCGCGTTGATATAGTTCTCTAGAACATCTATTCTATACCATATAATTGACAGTTAATTGTCATAACTGCCCGATATTAGCTTTTATGCTTATATTATTAGTCTTTGGAATTGTGCCAAGTTTATGCAAACTCACAATGAAATGTGATTCAGGCAGGATCAAAAGCTCTAATCCAGCACCTTAAAAGCTGTGTCGAGAGGATGGAATATACTGTATTCCCAGCTGCTATCCATCTGAAAGAAGAGTTCAGTGATGATACATCGGACACAGTCGGTCCAACGTTTAACGAAGTGGTACTAGTAGCGGGTGGATACAATGGATCTTCATGGATACCAGATTTAGATTCTTACTCTTTATACCAAGACAGAGTGAAACCACGTAGTCCAATGACACACGCGCTTTCTTATGCTTCGGCCACAAAGTTCAGGGATGAACTCTACTTGTTTGGTGGCTTATGCAACGACGTATGGTATGACCAAGGTAAATGTTATATCTTTGTCATGTATGTGCACGTAGTAATATCAGTTCCCTTGCTAAAACTGACCAACTTTTCTATGTTGTGAAGTTCAATCATACAATCCAGCAACTGATGAGTGGACTCTACGCCCTTCATTAAACCGGGGGAAAGCCAGCCTTGCAGGTGTTTCTTTGGATTCCAAGATCTTTGCAGTCGGAGGAGGAAGTGGAAGTGAATGCTTTTCGGAGGTAGAAATGTTTGATGTAGATGCTGGAAGGTGGATCATGGCGCAGTCCATGCTTCAAAAGGTATGTATTATGCTAAAATTGCTTTTATTGTAGTTTCAGGAACATGCAACGTGCCAGCCCAGCTCAATAGACACAATAAGCCATGTTGCTTGTATGTTACTTGAGCTACTAAATACGGATTCACTTCACAGGCTGTTGCCGTGGGTCATCTTAATGCCCCCTTTGTAGATGTTACATCAGTATCAGCCTGTTACATGTCCTTTGCCAACGGCTTAAAGATTTCAAGCTCAAGTCTAGGAGGGAATTCCTCTGACTTGGTCTTTTCTGGTGTTGGCCTCTTGTTTCTCTGCTGGTGCTGGAAAGCCGGCCTCTTATTTTTTGAAATTGCTATACTATTCGCTATCGCTAAATCACAACTAAACAGAGCGAAGATAAGCTAGCTTAGACAGTTTGGAGATTTATCAACTATCAAGTTCTGGTTTCTGTAATCATTGTAACTTTGTGGCTTGGTCTCTCTTGTTTTCCGCAGCGGTTTTCTCCTGCAGCAGCGGAAATCAACGGGATACTCTACGTTGTTGGTGGTTATGACGGCACCAATTACCTCAAGTAAGATGCATTTCATCTTTTTCCCGTGTTTAAAAGTTGCATAGTGGTTGTTACTTAAATGCCGTTGCACCTGCACCTGCCTTTTTTATTTCATGGACAGCTTTAGGCAATTTAGACTTCTTATAAAAAGAGCTCTAAATTGAAATGAGTGCCCAACCAAGTACTGAATGAGCCATTGACAATCGTACCCACTAGTCAAGTTAGAATCAAAGACATTCTTATAATCTGTTTGATTGGTAATGACTGAGCATTAGGGGTACTATTTTATAACTGTCCATGATGAGATAGATAGGATTAAGGTGTAATGTTTTACTGAATCCTATTTATGTAATAAACAATTACAAAATAGTACTCATAATTTTCAGTCATTACTACATTGCCCTACCAACCTCTTCCTTAATCTCTATATATCTCATGAATAATTACGAACGAGTACCCATAATTCCTATGCATTACAACATTACCCTGCCAACGGCGGACTTGGTTTGTGGACTCTTGATCTTCCGCAAGGGTCATTTGGATGAATATGTACTCTTTTGTCTGCTTCTAATGAACCAGTCAAAACTGGAGATTGCTTGCTGTTGCAGTCATTTCTTAATTGAAACCTCACCCTGTTACAATTTTCAGGTCAGTGGAAAGATTTGATCCCAGAGAACATACGTGGACAAGACTAGAGGATATGACCACAAGGCGATCATGCCTCTGTGTAGCTGTTCTCAACGAAAAATTGTAAGGAATCATTTCCCCATCAACTTTATCTTTTGGTCCTTTTTCTTCAACCGCGCCTTAAAATTCCCTCGTTGTTCTGAAGCTATAATAGCGAAGAGACTTGGTTCGGAACTCGGATCATGAACCAACCCCAAGTATGTTCTTTATATATCGCCGCATGTATTTTTGCAGGTACGCATTGGGTGGTTATGATGGTAGCGGAATGACGGCCAGCGTGGAGGTTCTTGAGCCCCGTACTGGATCATGGATGTCTAAGGAGCCAATGAATTCTTCGAGGGGCTATTTTGGTGCCGCTGTAGTAAACGATACAATATATGTCATCGGAGGTCTCGACAACGATCGAAATTTACCTGACACGGTTAGTAGCTCTGCCTGATTCTACTCCTAATTCTCAGATTATGTATGGCTCAGCGGTTAGATAGAATCGATGACAATATACCAGTGTTTGGGAAACCGTGCCGCACCTGCGGCTTGATCAGAAAAGTTTCCTACCGGAACCTAAATCGATAGATTTTAGTGGTATGAATAGTTTACCTCTAGTTAAACCACTATTTCAACCCAAAACTTTTTCGGTACAACCTCCCGTCCTTGCAATATACTCTTTATTCACCTGTTGGTTCTGTACTTTTTGCGTGTGATGATCATGGCAGGTAGAGATTTACAAGGAAGGACAAGGGTGGGAGGTCAGCAACCTCAAAGGCATCGGGAAGAGATGCTTTTTCTCTGCTGTTGCCTTCTGATCGGCGGCCGTGGCTGGGTATAGAGGTGGTGGCGATGATCATTCTTTAACTTGACGACTTTGGGAAGAAGACAATTTGTGAAAAGTGGAGCAAGACTTAGCTAACTCGGATCCGCTGGTCGTATACGGAGTAACACGGTGAGAAGTGAGATGGATAGTCTGTAAAAATTGATATGAGACGAACTTTGTTTAGGATTGTAGAGTATTCTGACCATCATTGCTTGATCCCTTCTCTTTTGGCTTCTTTTCCATGTTGTAATTCTAATCGGAATCTTTGAAACGCATTCTACTTGGAATTTGGAATATAATGATTTGGATGTGGATGCAAGGATTTGGAACTTTGAGCTCATTTATTTATTCATCTATTATTGTGGTGCTATTTCAAATTTGAATGTGGATTTGGTTACAAATGGAACTGAGGTGAAATTCGGTAGGGTATAAGTATCTCAATATCAAATACTGAAATCTCGAATATCAAATACTATTATAAATCAATCACAATCTCAAAATAAATTTGGTATCCCAATCTCAATCCCTAATATTTTATTTGGTATCGGTATGTACTATGTACCAAATTAATCCCTTCAAAATTATAAATTATATATCTTAATACAAATGCAAATACTCTCTTATGCTAGCAAGTCCACAAACCATTCACAAAATATATAAAAACGAAAAAATGGTGCCAACACTCGTGCAAAACACATGAGAAAAAATCTCAATTATAATAACAACAAACTAAAAAAATATGGTGCTTAAGAAGCACATTAACAACCTAAAGCAAGAAACTCAAACATGGGACGACTAAGCAACCAATAAAAATGGCTAAATTGCAAGTTTGGTAACTGGAATTACTATAAAAGTTTACGTTTGTCACTCAAATTAGTTTATTCCATTTATAGTCACTAAAATCAGTTTAATAGTTCAAGTTTGGTCACTCTCCGTTAGCCTCCGTTAACTTTATCTGACGTGGCAGTCAATGCAGTCAAAAGCGCGATTCTACCTAGAAGCGAAAAATGGCTAAAATCGTAAAGCGTAGAATTAAAGCGTAAAAGCGTAAGTTTTTTACGCATACTGTAAAAGAACTAAAAATATGTTAAGTACGACATATACTACGAAAAATATGAGTGCACAAAATTCAGATAAGTTTTTAAATACTTGCAATTCATGTCTAAAGTAGAGCAACTTATAGCCTCTTAATTAATAATAAGTTCATAAATATAAATCTTATAAAAAAGTCACCTTCCCCTCCATGCTAATGAATTTGAGAAGAGCCTAGATAGTGAATTCGATTAATTTGTTGAAGTTTCATAATGCATCCAAGTATCTGGCATGTATCTTTTAATCTTAAACATATCATATTGTCGGTAATTTATTTTTAAAATTTACTTTATATAATTAATTTCATGAAAAGAAGACCTATTCAGTGAAGTAAAAGCGTAAAAACGTAAAGCGTTTTAGTGAACTAGAAGCGTAAAATCATAAGTTTTTAAGTTTTAAAGCGCAATTTAGTATGATTTTATACACTAAAGTTTTTACATAGAAACGAAAGCGTTTTGGTGACCAAGAAGCGTAAATTCGTAAGTTTTTAAGTTTTAAAGCGCGATTTTGACTGCATTAGTGGCAGTCAACTAGGGATAGCAATTTCGACCTGACCCGATTTACCCGACCTGTTTGAAAAGAAATTGGGGCTGGCCTACGGGGCGGAGCGGGCATGGGTACCTCTCATCGACCCCCGCCCCATTCTCGACCCGTTCTTGTCTAAATTACATATAATATTAGTCAAATTACATAAGATTTTAATCTTATTACATTATATTTTAGCTATAATAGAGTTGTAAATAAGTGAAAACCTCAATTTCTTCAATAATTTAACTATATTTTATCATATTATGGTTTCTTTCTTTGTCTTTCAATGAAAAGAACGAATATTTCTACTATTTTTCACATAAATTACATACCCAATGGGTCGACCTGCCCCGACCCACGTCCCGTGATAAATTACCCGACCTGGACCCGACCCGCCAATACAAGTACACTCGTAAGACTCTTAGGAGAGGTATACATCTCCTTAGAAACACAGTCTTTTTGACAGGAAAAGGGGGGATCCGAGGATCGCTTAGAACCCGATTTTCCCAGGTCATGGGGGGATCATGATGATCGCTTAAGTCCCCATTTCCTTAGACATGCATTGCTTTATAAAGAGTCTAGATAAGTGTTGTATTGTATTGAAACATTCCATACTTTTATACAGTTGAAAATATGTACAGAGACACAATTAATTAGAACGCTTACCGATCCACCATATACTGTCAGCAAGCTTCTTTCGCTTGAAATGATGGTTCCAGTTGCTCTTGAAATGCCGTATGCACTATCTCTGTGACCAGTTCCAGGCTGGATCCAAGCCTAAGATAGCAGCTCGTATTCCGGCGTGGCGATCTGAGATGATAGTCAGGTTCGTCCGCCTGGTGACATGGAGCTGAATTTGTCTGAAGAACCAGCCATAGCTATCGGTATTCTCTCCCTCCACAATGGCAAAGGCTAATGGATATACTAATCTATTTGCATCTGATCCGCTGGCAATCAGTAGAGTACCCTTGTACTTGCCGGTAAGGAATGTTCCATCAACTTGAATCACAGGAACACAGTATGGAAAACCATCAATACATGGCTTGAAGGCCCAGAAAAGACGCTTGAATTGGCGATTGTTACCAGGCGCCGGCGATTGAATTTCTTCATCTTGGTAGCGAGGCGAGAAAATGGTGCCAGGGTTAGACACCTCCAACGCCAAAATCAATTTGGGAAGGAATGCATATGATTCTTCCCAGTCACCAAACACGGCAGCCATTGCTTTCTGTTTCCCATGCCATGCTTTCTTGTAGTTAATGATATAACCATAACGACTAGAAATGTGGGCGATGATGGTTTTGACCTTCAGGTCGGGCTGCTCCTCAATTAGATGTTTGATAGCCGCGGCAACCACCCTTGATTTCAACTGTCGATGGCCTTGGGATGTTATTGATGACACACATGTGTGTGTGTTCACCGCACGGGATATGACCCAATGGCCGACTCTCTTGCTCTTGATAGCCCGGACCCTAGCTTTGCATCCCTCATTTTCATTTCTGCATCGAACCATCAGCCTCTTTGTGTCGGAATGGGTTGTTTGCCATTCAAAACTCCGAGTCATTGCTTCAGTGGAAATAGCGTGTCGGACCTCATTCTTCGTTGCAAATTGTTGGCCCTTCGTAAAGCCAGTTAGTGGACCCCATACTGGCACATCTGGCGGGTTCATGTCGGCATCAACATACCAATCTTCATTTTGAATGTGATTGTAGTATGGAATAGGTACACGGTCGTGAGCTACCTCATCACCATATGCGTCTGAATCTGGACCGGAATCATCAGCACCTTCCAGCGGATCATCGCTGTCTGCACTAACTTCGCCTTCCTCTTCTTCAACCTCAGGGTCACTAACTGGACTTGGATTGACCTCTTCTTCCATCTGACTACCAGCATGAAAGGCACCTTCACCTTCACTAGCTCCGTAATGGTAGTTGTGGTAACTAACACCGCTTTGATAGAAGTTGTACTCGGGTGGGTACTGGTAGCCTGCTTGTTGGTTGTAATCCGCCTGTTGAGCTTCTTCCTCATATGAAGGGAAGGATTGATGACTTCCTCCAGTACCATGATGATACTCCTGCCTCCGGCTCGACTCTTGGAAATCCTGGTGGGGATGATCTTCGTATAATACACTCCCACCCTGGATACCATATGTTTGGCCATCTCCAGAATGACCTACACTGCCTTCGACGACCTCGGTGTAAACGAACATCTCCGCTTGCTTAATTTTATTGGTGGTCAAAAATTGGACCATGGCATCAACGTCCTCCTGAGTGGTAAGGAGGAATTCCTCATTCCACAGCGACCCGTCATGTCTGTTTGGATATCGATACACCATTCGATAAACTCTTCTAGTGCCATCCATGCAGGTAATCTGAGTGCACATTTGATGGGGCTCTTCAAGCATCGGTCTCGTACGAACCTTCATTTTATAAAAATTGCCACCGACGTAACTTACACCCTTTTTGGTCTCTTCTGTGTAACCATTCCACCGCAACCCAAGCGTGAACCTTTGGAATGCCATCTGCAATGAAAAGTAATTAAGTTACTAACATAAAATCACAAATGACAATGAAAATTAATTAAGTTACTAACATAAAATCACAAAGGACAATGAAAAGTAATTAAGTTACTAACATAAAATCACAAAGGACAATGAAAAGTAATTAAGTTACTAACATAAAATCACAAAGGACAATGAAAAGTAATTAAGTTACTAACATAAAATCACAAATGACAATGGAAAGTAATTAAGTTACTAACATAAAATAACAAATGACAATGGAAAGTAATTAAGTTACTAACATAAAATCACAAAGGACAATGAAAAGTAATTAAGTTACTAACATAAAATCACAAAGGACAATGAAAAGTAATTACGACTTACGAATTAACGTTAATCGCAAAAACTAAATAATTTAAAGCTGAAATTTTAAGAAGGAAGAGGAGGAGGTGTGAAGAATTGAGTTCTCTGAAACCGCCTTTTATAGGCAAATTTTGCATCAAAACCGCTGGGGGGGAGCGGTTTTAGGTCTGCCATGCAGCCCTACTAGCCCTACCCCCTGCATGCCGACATGTCCGACATGTTGGCTGTCGGGTGACCAGGCACAAACCGCGCCTTGGGGCAGCGGTTTATGTCCTGACATTGTAAACCGCCGCTTGGGGAGGCGGTTTATGTCCTGACATTATAAACCGCCGCTTGGGGAGGCGGTTTGTAATGCCGACAGTTAAACGCTCTCTCCTGAAGCGTTTTGTGGTAGGGTTAGCCTATAATCGCGCCTTCCAAAAGCGTTTTGTTCTGGAAATTAAAAGCGCTACCTGGAGACGCGGTTATAATGTAAAACGCTTACTGGATGCGCGGTTTTATTAAAAACCGCTCCTTAGAGGCGCGGTTTTGTAGAAATGATGGTATTTTTGGAAATTATTTGGAGTGGGTGGTATTTTTGTAATTTTTTTTAAAACAGTGGTAGTTTTGGATTTTTTCCCTAAGTTTGTGCATTTAGGTGCTAGTAATCTAATTTGCCAACTTAGCCTAGTGTAGAGAGGAAAATCCCCCTTTTCAAGGGAGACTCAATCGAGTTGGTTTTCCTTCCGCTTTCCAAGCCACCTAAACTAGGTTGAGTTAGGGCAATTCTCAATATTGAATTGAACAAGTCGATTAATCGTGGTTAAACCGTCCGACCTTAGAGTTGAGTGAG